TAATAATGAACTTATAACATCCTGCGACATTCAAAGGCTTCAGTCATCTAGGGGAGAGTGGGGCACATTCGTGCAAAAAATGATCAACAAAAGTGGCGGCAAACTATCGTTCGATTTCACTTCTACCGTTGTTTGGTAAGGTTTTGGAGAGGATAGTGTATGAGTCACTGTATGCGCACGTTCGCGGTGTTCTGTCTGAGAAACAGCACGGTTTTATTGAACATCGTAGTTGCGAAAGTAACCTATGTCACATTGTCCGTGCAGGCTGGCAGGCAATCTCAAACGGTAACCAGCTTGATTGCATATACACCGACTTCTCTGCCGCCTTCCAAAGTGTTGACCACCGTCTATTGTTACACAAGCTGCACAAATCGTACGATATCAACGGCCCTGCTCTTGCACTACTAGGCTCGTTTTTAGAAAACCGTAAACAGCGGGTGGTGTTAGACGGTCAAACGTCTGCTTGGACTCCGGTGATTTCGGGCACGCCGGAGGGTAGCCTGATTTCTCCCCTCTTGTTCATTGCATTTATTAATGATTTGCCATCGTATGTTCACTCAGAATGCCTGATGTACGCTGACGATGTGAAGATTTACCGGGAGGTACGCACAGATGCAGATGCCGTGCTGTTATATGACGATCTCACCCGCCTAGTAGAATGGTCGTCATCCTGGAGATTAAAGGGACTATCCCACCTTTACATTAGGTTTGAGTTGAGATAGCGAAGTTTGCGGCGAGGTCCAGAAACCACTATCTATCTTGGTTGCAACCTCCGCGGCCTCGTGGTGTTGAAGAAATTCGTTCCCTTCATTTGAAAATGGGCCCTGCGCAAGGCCCAATCTCTGAACCATTAACGGTAACCTGATGACGTCATTTGCCTTTTGAACGCCTGTCCAAGTGAAGTATCACTTGATTTACAAATAAGCCAATCAGAGACAATTTTGTTATTGTATGAGCCGAGTCATATTTGAGAGCAAATACCTATATTTGCTGCCAAATTTCCCCCACACTGACATGAAGTAAATCCTTTATTACGTCACAGATCCGATCTAAATGACGTCACGATGAAATATAAAAGTCACAATATCTCAAAAAGTATACGATGAAAACGCGTAAAAACTTGCAGAATTCGTCACAATATCATGAGTAACATTTCCGAATCCTAAACGGACTTTTTTGAAGGTGGGATAGTCCCTTTAAAACTAAATGCGTCAAAGTGCAAGTCATTTACCATCACTCTCAAACGGTCACCCATCATCAGTCCCTATAGAATAGGTGGAGTGACGTTAGATCGCGTCACCACTATGCGCGATCTGGGAGTTACTCTGGACCAGAAACTCACCTTCGAGCGGCATGTTGATTCGATTGTCGCGGCGGGCAATAGAGCACTCGGCTTGTTGATTCGGTCACTCCAAGCCGGAGCGAGAATTAGGTATGACACTGGCGCTATCACCTCAGCATACTTCGCCAATGTACGTTCGGTTCTCGAGAACTGCAGTGTTGTGTGGGGCGGAGCGGCGGGAACACATACGGATCGCATAGAACGAATCCAGCATAAATTCCTTATTTGGCTTACAGTTAACTCTGTCACCAACTCGGATTCTCTCTCTTACGAAAATCTTCTTTCGGCACATTCTTTCACTTCTCTGGCAGCACGACGGGTGCAACATGACTTGGTTTATGTAGCTCGTCTTTTCAAGCACAAAATTGACTCCAGTTCCCTGCGATCTCATTTTGGCCTCGCCGTCCCGCCTCGATCAGTTCGCCGCCGTGATCTGCTCGCCGTGCCGTTCGCCAGAGTCGAAACCATCAAGAATGGGCTCTATTGTAGGGTGCCGAGGCTCGCAAATGAATTTCTGCGTGAAAACAACCAGTTAGACCTGTTTACGGACTCCTTAGCCACAGTGAGGAAAACAGCTAAGTCTTACGCTGCTCAGCTATCCTCCCGCGCCTTTCCCACAGACCAATGATGTTGCCGTGTGTCGCAAGATTGCGGTCTGTTTTGTATCATTTATTGTATACCTTTATTACGTGTTTGTATGATCAGTGTGCCTATACCTATGTGACTTTACCCGTAAATGGGCTTTTCCCGTGGGTGATACTGTGAATAAATGAATGAATAAATGGATAAATCCATATATCTGTTCTTTGGTTAGTGCAACGGCAAAATTGTTGATTGTGGTATGGAAAGGAACTATTGCAGATATTTTTCCTCTAAAAGTTATCCTCTAAAATTATTGCTTCTATTAGAAAAAATGACTTTTAATAACTCTGAACGTTTGCACGAAACTGCCCCACCTATGGGGCACATTCGTGCAAGGGGTGGGGCACTTCCGTGCACCCTGCAAAGTTCTAGAAATTACCGGGCATTACCAGAAATTTACCAAAGGAAATTGGCAGGGGGTCATTTCACTTGATTCCTTTCGACAAGAATGCATTGCACAACATATGTAGAAAGAATGGGCTGGCCAACAAGAATGTGCCAACTGCCGGCCTCCGTGACCTCGCCAAGTTCGCGTGAATTAGGTACTCGTCGCGACGTCGCAAGCAGCCGAGACTGAGTCAGGCGAGCGTCACTAGTGAAACCTACTATACATAAAGTCATAAATAGCAAAAACTTAAAAAAATATATGCACGAATGTGCCCCCAGGCAGTGCGTACACGAACCTGTCCCACAACGTTATTTGTAATGTATTTCAAAATTTCTTGTTGAAAAAATGACACTTTGTCAACAAACAAGTTTGCAGCAGTTCCGTGAATAGAGTGAGCACCTTCGCCCCCAATTTTGAAAAGCTGAACCACATTTCCGAGTCAGGATCACGAAAATGGATGATATGAGAAAAGTTTGGAAAGCTCACGAATATTACAAATTTGCGTTTTTATCAAGCATGACAGCAGGTACAGTGTTGTCTTCTACGGTGAACGAAGGGCGGCAATGATAGACACATTTCCATAATTTACCTTGAGCTCGTGCAGTCACTCGTGTTCCCATAAACTGCTGAAAACGAATGTGCCCCATGCACGAATGTGCCCCACTCTCCCCTACTGTAGCTCTGACACGGTGACAAAGTTGCAAAAAAGTGACTTGAGGTTGGGTCATTTGAAGTGACCTGGTGACCTGACCTTAAGAGTTAGGAGGTTCAAACTTGCATACCATGTGTAAAATTAATTAGAGAATAGTCGTACTAAATTTTGCGGCGCTAGCGACGCGGTTTTCCCGCTATTTACGAAAAAGCTCAGGGGGCGGATAACCGCCCCCCCCCGTCGGTGCGCGAGTTAACCCGGCAGTTGCTGGGGTATTTCGCCACCCACCGTTTGCTGGGGGGGGGGGGGGCGTTAAACGCCCCCAGCCGATAACTCGAGAACCAATAGGCGCAGCGAAACGCACGAGGCGGCAAACGAAAGAGCGCGACGAGACGCTTCAGATGAGTACTTTAAAGTTGAATTTTGAGGTCACAGGTCGGGTCAAGGTCAGGTCAAACACCTGAAATCGGGCTTTCAGTAGCATGGACTTCAGGACTTCGCAATGGGCGCCTCTCGCCATAAACTCTGTCAAAACGGTGCACAATCCATCTTATAAGGCCTACGAGAGTGTCAGCTCCATGTAGGGGTCAGTCAAGCATAGGTCAGGGTCAAGGTCAGGTCAACCGGGTAGGCACATATCCCCGAAAATCAAAACTGATATTCGCAGCCTGTGACACATGTTTTATAAGTAATTTGGGGCGTAGAACACGATGGTGACATTCATTTTATCATATGTGTACGTGTTTGGCTCAAAAAGTTCAATTTAAGAAATTCATGTATCATGGTCGTGAAGTAGTCACGAAAAATTGCCAATATTCAGTTCAAGATTATGGAAAATGCGGAACGATAATCAATAATCGAAGATAGCCATTTGATTGATCATGATATTGGCAGTCTAATGACGTTTACGGCATGTCTGTATGTCTATTCTGTGATTTTATATGATTTTTTGAACATATGCCGTTTTTGGTCGAAAACTCAGAAATCATGACGTCACTAAAACCTCGATATCTCAAAAATTTTCCGACCGATTTTTTTTTGAAACTTTGTCACAATAAACTCCAATCAATTCCCTACAGGTACCCAAAATTTGGCGCGCCTGCGGCGCGCCGTTTTTATGCTATGGTCCGGCGAAAAAAGTGGGGGCGTTTAACGCCCCCCCCCCAGCAACTCGCGGGTTAATATGGGAAAATCCCCAGGGAGAGGCGGATATCCGGCCCCGTCGATGCGCGGGTCCACATATTATGCATCATGATAATGACAAAATTTGGATTCTCAGTGCCCGGCACCAGCCTCAGAAGTCAGAGGACAGAGGGCCCTATGCCGGCCTAAGAGTGCCCAACGCTGGTCACAGGGCCCCACGTTGACCAAACATGGCTCCACGCTGGCCTAAGAGTGTCTACATTGTCCTTGAAGGGCCTCAATCTGGCCTCTACCCCACGACCACGCCGCTGGTCTTTGAGGACAGGAGGACCCCACGCTGGACTTGACGGCCCCGCGCTGGCCTTAGATGACTGTACTGTACAGTAGGGGGTACCCCTAGTGTACAGTGTACACTGGCTTCTTGGGGCCTCACGGCCCACATCTCACCCTTTAAAGTCCCCAAAGCGGCCTTTGAGGACCCCATGCGAGCCTCCGGGCGCTTGGTCTCGACCTCTGAGGGCTTTACGCTGCCACCTCTGTAGCCCTCGGTAGAAGTAGTTTTACGGTATGTAACTATGTACGCTCAAGAGGATGTGTTGCTTGTTTGTGCCGTGTGAGTGTGTGCTCCTTGACTTCGCGTTTGAATCATGCGCTTTTATCGTTTTATGACAAAAGGCTGATAGTACCCACAGCTGTTTATATGGATAATTTGGAATGCCTTTACCTATGTGTGCAGTGTGTACGATGTATTTTATGTGGTGTCATTTTGGGGTTTGGTTGCCCCCTCCCCGGAAACTGGCCCTAACCTCTCCGTGATTGGCCTGGTTTCACAGACATTGATGAGTGCGCCGAGGGTGTCGGCAACTGCACGGCGGCGACAACGTGCGTCAACACCGAAGGCAGCTACACGTGCCGACCCAACTGTCCCGTCGGTTACCGCGCCAGCCCCAGGTGGGAGCTGTTACAGCTACACGTGCCGACCCAACTGTCCCGTCGGTTACCGCGCCACTTCGCCAGTCCCAGGTGGGAGCTGTTACAGCTACTGCCGACCCAACTGTCCCGTCGGTTACCGCGCGAGTCCCAGGTGGGAGCTGTTACAGCTACTGCCGACCCAACTGTCCCGTCGGTTACCGCGCCAGCCCCAGGTGCGAGCTGTTACAGCTACACGTGCCGACCCAACTGTCCCGTCGGTTACCGCGCCAGTCCCAGGTGGGAGCTGTTACAGCTACTGCCGACCCAACTGTCCCGTCGGTTACCGCGCCAGTCCCAGGTGGGAGCTGTTACAGCTACTGCCGACCCAACTGTCCCGTCGGTTACCGCGCGAGTCCCAGGTGGGAGCTGTTACAGCTACTGCCGACCCAACTGTCCCGTCGGTTACCGCGCGAGTCCCAGGTGGGAGCTGTTACAGCTACTGCCGACCCAACTGTCCCGTCGGTTACCGCGCGAGTCCCAGGTGGGAGCTGTTATAGCTACTGCCGACCCAACTGTCCCGTCGGTTACCGCGCGAGTCCCAGGTGGGAGCTGTTATAGCTACTGCCGACCCAACTGTCCCGTCGGTTACCGCGCGAGTCCCAGGTGGGAGCTGTTACAGCTACTGCCGACCCAACTGTCCCGTCGGTTACCGCGCGAGTCCCAGGTGGGAGCTGTTACAGCTACTGCCGACCCAACTGTCCCGTTGGTTACCGCGCCAGCCCCCGGTGGGAGCTGTTACAGCTACTGCCGACCCAACTGTCCCGTCGGTTACCGCGCGAGTCCCAGGTAGGAGCTGTTATAGCTACTGCCGACCCAACTGTCCCGTCGGTTACCGCGCGAGTCCCAGGTGGGAGCTGTTATAGCTACTGCCGACCCAACTGTCCCGTCGGTTACCGCGCGAGTCCCAGGTGGGAGCTGTTACAGCTACTGCCGACCCAACTGTCCCGTCGGTTACCGCGCGAGTCCCAGGTGGGAGCTGTTACAGCTACTGCCGACCCAACTGTCCCGTCGGTTACCGCGCCAGCCCCAGGTGCGAGCTGTTACAGCTACACGTGCCGACCCAACTGTCCCGTCGGTTACCGCGCGAGTCCCAGGTGGGAGCTGTTATAGCTACTGCCGACCCAACTGTCCCGTCGGTTACCGCGCCAGCCCCAGGTGGGAGCTGTTATAGCTACTGCCGACCCAACTGTCCCGTCGGTTACCGCGCGAGTCCCAGGTGGGAGCTGTTATAGCTACTGCCGACCCAACTGTCCCGTCGGTTACCGCGCCAGCCCCAGGTGGGAGCTGTTATAGCTACTGCCGACCCAACTGTCCCGTCGGTTACCGCGCCAGCCCCAGGTGCGAGCTGTTACAGCTACTGCCGACCCAACTGTCCCGTCGGTTACCGCGCCAGCCCCAGGTGGGAGCTGTTACAGCTACTGCCGACCCAACTGTCCCGTCGGTTACCGCGCCAGCCCCAGGTGGGAGAGCTGCTCAGCCGGCCATCCAGGCTCTTGGAACAATTTAACATTGAATCTGCTCCTTGTTTACAATGCTCGTCTTCAAATATGACATGGCCTGAAGCTTTTTTTTCACAGCAAACCACGCCCTTAGCCGGCGCTCTCTATTGGCATCTGAGGCTCCATGCAGGTTTTTTAGGGTCCCGTACCGATACCAAGTAGCGCATCCTCGGGCCTTTGCCGGCTTCTGTGGGTCTCATGCCGAGGGCCCGCCTGTGTAACCATGTTCATTGTTCATTACTACCCCATCCTCTACCTCTCCCTGTAGGGGGGCGTGGGGCAAAGCGGCCACCCGGGGCAAAGCGGCCACCCATCGTTTTAGCCCTCCACAACTGGCGTCAGCTCCAATTTATGCTTTCCATTAATGCTTCTCTTCGCGGTCGTTCGAATGAGCCAGACCGGGGTTTCAGGCCCATCGCCATTGTTCTGTGAAATACGGAAAAGTATTCCTTGCCAGGTTACCAACTATTTTTACAATTTTTAAATGTTATTTTATTCCATGACCGTTTGGAATTTTGATAAGCATTCTTGTCCATGCATTGCTTGATTATCGTACATGCCTTCTACCAATTCTAATGTTGTTTACCCACTGATAGCTGAGCTGGAATATTATTGTCTCGGACGGTATGCGCGGGGCTAAGTGGCCGGGGCAAAGTGGCCAGCCCCCAATTGGCCATAAGTTGTTTCCATCTGGATAAGAAACATCATTTATATTCAAATGTGTCGTCATGCACTCATCATGGCCACTTTTCGGTTACATGAGTTACCAACAGGGGCGGCGCCACCGGGGGCAGGGGGGCAAACATATCTTTTTGGCACTCCTGTAATACTGAAGGAAGGCCCTTTTGCTTAAAATCATAGGCCCCTTTTTATCTGTGACTTTGCCACCCCAGACATAGGGTCTGTTTCAGTCGCACTTCCTAACGCCTCTAAACTCCTCCAAGAGCAAGATAGAGGAGGTTGGAGCAGGGCCCTCCTTGGCTTTGTAGGGGCTAGAGCTGCCACTGGAACAGGGAAGCAATCTTGGAGGAGTTTAGAGGTGTTAGGAAGTGCGGCTGGAACAGACCCATAGCCTCGAGCGAGACGCACCAGCTCCTTTACAAATGGAGGGCCGTAATTCATATAGAAGGTTCCTTGTCAGAATTGGAGGTCCCATGTACAAAAAGGAGGGCCCCTAGACAAATAAGAGGCCCCTCGACAAATAGGAGGTCATCTGTACAAATAGTACACCCTTTGGACGATTAGGAGGCCCCTGTACAAATAAGAGGCCCTCTGGACAAACAAGAGGCCCCCTGGGCAAACAGGAGGCCCCCTGGGCAACTAAGAGGCCCCTGGACAAGTAAGAGGTCCCTGGACAAAAAGGAGGCGCGCTAGACAAATACGAGGTCCCCTGGACAAAGAGGAGGCCCCTAGACAAATAAAAGGCCCCTGCACAGTGCCCACATAGGAGGCCCCTAGGCCATTGCACAAATAGGAAGACCTTTGTAGAAAAAGTTGGCCCTCTGTACCAATAGGAGGTCCCTGACAAAAAGCAGGCCCCCTAGACAAATAGTAGGCCCCTGGACAATAAGCAGGCCTCTTGCACTTTGGAGGCACCCTGGGCAAATAGGAGGTCCTCTGTGAATATGGGAGCTTCCCTTTACCAAAAAAAAGAAGTCCCTGGACAAGTAGAAGGCCCTTGGACAGAAAGGAGGCCTTCTGTACAGACAGCAGGCCCCCTAGACAAACAGCAGATCTCCTTCTCCGTTTCCTTCGATGGCAGCTGCTTCAATCTCACCACTAGCGTCACTCCAGTGATCCAGGTCGTCTAATGACGTCTCCTCTTCGCCGTTACTCGGTTGTTCCGCCATCTGAACATTGACCACCACTGCATTTCCCGAGTTTTGGGCATCATTGAACTTGTTGGTTCGACGTCGACTCTTCGATCGGGTTCTAGAGCTGACATTTTCTGCACTTGTAGACATTGTTTCTTAGTTACTTAGTTAACCCTCGCCGGCCGAGGGGGGGGGGGGGCGGTTGCCGTCCCCCGTAGGGTTTTTTTCGCGATAGCTCCGAACACGCTGGCGATAGAGAGCTGAAACTTGGCATACCTGACCGTTGATTCAAACCGGATCTTTTGACACCAACGTCCAACCGCATTTTTGGGTCAGATCAGGTCACTGACCTATGACGTCATAAGTGAACCTCTGCACGGTCTTCAGATGTCGCAACTTCGCAACGCCCTCACTGCCAGAGGAGATGTCACAGGGAAATGAAACTTGCAGGATCTAGTATCCATTATGAGACTCACAACTTGTATATCTCGGATTTTTCCTAAAGGTCATATGAGGTCAGGTCATTTTCGTGACCTCACCATTATAAGTCAATGGGGAAAAATGAAAACTGTTTTTCTGGCGCCGGGAACGATCTATAATAACTATCTCAAGCACACAGAATCGCGATTTGATGCACTCCTTGCAAGGTTAGATGCGTCACTTTTGCAATGTTGACTTTGCGTGACGTCATTTATGACGTCATCAAGGTCATATTAGTTTTTCGTCAATAACTCTTGATCAAATTGAGCTAGTGAATCGGGAAAGCCACCAATGGACTCATGAAGACCTGCCGAATCGAATGATATGCGACATGACCTCTTTCGACCAACTTCGTGACCTGGGGGTGCTGACCTGACCTTGACCTGAGGTCAACACCCTAAGTTGACCTGACCCGAACAAAAAGTATATCATTCGACGCGCCTGAGCGAGGCGAACACGATGCTGCCAAAATCGCGGCTCTGCGGCCGTTTTTTGCGAAGTTATTCACCAAAAACTGAACCGTACCTAGGGGCACTTGACCTGACCTCAGAGGTCACCGGTTGACCTAGGACCTTAAAATCGGGTACCAATCTCTGCGTCTCGTAACGGCGCACACGCTCGTTTTTTCCGCGACGCGCTACCTCCACCAGGGGCGAAACGGCGAGGGGGGGGGTCGTACCCCCCCCCCTCGGCCGGCGCGTAGGTATGTAGAAAACCAATAGGTCCGGCGATGGTTAAGTCAGTTACTGGGAATGATTAGCTACTACGTTACTTTACGCTACTGATCTACTTTTGTCTATCGGTGGTTTAAAGCTCCCAGACTTACGTTATTTTTTTATCCCACTTTTGACACCAATTGTCACGAAAAACAGATTAGCATTTATTGCTTTCACATGGAAGAGTCATAGCAGCAAGATAACCAGTAACCACACATAAACTAGTACGTAGCTGGTTCGCTTTGGGTTCGCTCCCAAATCCCCCTTTTTTCCGCCGCGTCGATTTACATTTAATAAATTATGCGGCCGTCGCGAGAGAAAATCCCGCAGCACCTTTCGCGGCGGATATTTGCAACAATACTTTGCCGCTCCCGGCCAGGATGGGCGTAGCCCATAGATATGTCAATCGGATAACAACTTTTTGGTATACCGATACCAAACCGATACCAACTTTGTATTTGGTATTTGAATCGTAATGTGTTTGGTATTTTGTTGGTATCATGAACCCTCACTCATGTATAAGAGGCTAAGAAATCGGTAAAAAAAGTTAGTATTTCCCTCATTTTCCCAAGTCGGTTTGGTTTCGGTATTTCTTCGTGAGTTTGGCTGGTGTTTGGTTTGGTATCGGTATTCCGATTTTCCGTAATTGACATCACTAGACTAGCCCAGAAGAGAACAGTGATTCGGTTCATAGTGCTCTCACAGTTTCTCCCCACTTAAAATGTTAGACGAGGCCGTGCTATTCAACATTCATTACCGTATGCCCAAATCAGCATCTAGCAGTGGACGCGGGATTTCTTGACTGATATCTGACCCGCTCTGTCTCTAACCGCTCTGTCTGACCCGCTCTGTCTTATGTCTGACCGCTCTGTCTCTAACCGCTCTAACCGCTCTGTCTCTAACCGCCCGGCCCGCTCTGGTCTCTGACTGATGTCGGACCCCCGCTCTGTCTGATGTCTGACCCGCTCCGTCTGACCCGCTCTATATAACCAGCTTTGTCTCTAACCGCTCTGTCTGACCCGCTCTGTCTGATGTCTGACCCGCTCTGTCTGACCCGCTCTGTTCTCTAACTGATGTCTGACCCGCCTCCCAGCGGCACCTGTAACGACATTGACGAGTGCGCCGAGGGCACTGCCGACTGTGGCCGTGGTCAGGCCTGTCGGAATCAGCCGGGCGCTTTTAGCTGCGTGACAAACACCACTTGTCCGGAAGGGTTCGAGTACTCGAAAGACGGCGCCGACTGTCGGGGTGAGTGTCACCGCTGTCAATATCAGTATCAGTGTCAGTGTCACTGCTGTCAGTGTCACTACTGTCAATATCAGTATCAGTGTCAGTGCCACCGCTGTCAGTGTCTGTGTCACCGCTGTCAGTGTCACTGCTGTCAATATCAGTATCAGTGTCAGTGCCACCGCTGTCAGTGTCACTGCTGTCAATATCAGTATCAGTGTCAGTGCCACCGCTGCCAGTGTCACTGCTGTCAATATCAGTATCAGTGTCAGTGCCACCGCTGTCAGTGTCACTGCTGTCAATATCAGTGTCAGTGTCAGTGTCACCGCTGTCAGTGTCAGTGTTACGGCTGTCAGTGTCACTGCTGTCAATATCAGTCAGTCTCAGTGTCAGTGCCAGTGCCACCGCTGTCAGTGTCACTGCTGTCAATATCAGTATCAGTGTCAGTGTCACCGCTGTCAGTGTCACTGCTGTCAATATCAGTATCAGTGTCAGTGTCACCGCTGTCAGTGTCACTGCTGTCAATATCAGTATCAGTGTCAGTGCCACCGCTGTCAGTGTCAGTGTGACGGGTGCACTTTGCAATCAGTGTAATCTGGCCCGTGAGGGGCTGCTCTGACCCGTATGGGCTGCTCTGGCTCGCTGCCGACAGATGTTGATGAGTGCGTGGCGGGCACCGACGGTTGTGACCCGCGCTCGACAACCTGCTCCAACACTGAGGGCGGCTTCGTCTGCGTGCCGCTGCCGGCCAGCCGCTGCCAGCCTGGCTACAGGTTCAATGACATCCTACAGCAGTGTGCTGGTATGTTCTCGGCGGCGCGCCGTCACCCACGGGTCGGGGACCGTCACAGGAGGCGTCACAGTGGCGGGGGGCGGGGGAGGTCACATATGGGTCGGGGACCCTCGCAGGGGTGGCTTTGTATAGCCCCTTCCCCATAGGCGCAGGAGCCGGGGGGGGGGGCAGTGGGGGCAGCTTTTCCCCTCCCCCTCAACTCTGGGGCCGTGGGGGCGGTGCCCCCACAGCTTTGAGACGGAATACCACACTTTTTCTTGCAAATGTTTTCTTTTTTGTTGAAAAAGCCAAGGGATGAAAAATAAGTGGACTAAAACCGGAGAGAAAACTAGATTTGGGGGTACCCTAGGTTGATCTCTATTATGGTGTGCCCCCCCCCCCCCCCCAGTCTGAACGTAGTTCCCGCGCCCCTGCCCTTCCCACATATACCCGTTTTAGAAGTTTAGACCATCATCGCTCGAGCTGTTTTAATTTAGCCCCACAACTTTAGGGCCGCATTTTTAGGGCCACACCTCCACGAGATTTTGAATTTTGGGTTTAGGGCATCACAAAAGAAAACTTTACGGCGATAAAGGACTTTATTCAAAGCGTCGTTTCCATGACAACCAAGCTCCTGGATGGAGCCCCGCGACACGATTACTTTGTAGGGCCTTGGTTTGTAGCGGCACGGGGGCAGACGCGTCCGAATCCTGTCCGCTTTTTCATTAACCCGCGTCCTGCTCGGGGACGGGGGGGGGGGGTTGAACATCCCCTGCGGTTTTCCGCGATCCACTGATATGCAACATGATGTCACATGCAGGGGCCCGGGAACTACTTTCAGACTGGGGGGGGGGGCACACCATAATAGAGATCAACCTGGGGTACCCCCAAATCTAGTTTTCTCACCGGTTTTAGGCCACTTATATTTCATCCCTTGGCTTTTTCAACAAAAAAGAAAACATTTGCAAAAAAGTGCGGTTTTCCGTCTCAAAGTTGTGGGGGCACCGCCCCCACGGCCCCAGAGTTGGGGGGGGGGGGGCAAGCTGCCCCCACTGCCCCCCCGTTCCCGCGCCTATGGTCACATGTGACGTCATTTAAACTTTTTATTCAAAGGATAGTATATTCGTAACATCCAGAGGAGCCTGCGAAGAAAGTCAAATAATTGCGGCCGAGTCAAGGGAAGTTCTTTGCATGAAGGCAATGCTGCCATATCTTGTTGCGCTAAAAGAGGTTTTCAAAGATTTACTTGACATGTGGCAGGCTGCCATCGATTTTAAGATGGAGTTTCGTCAGAGTGTTAGAAATTGTTAGAAATTATAATGATGGCCCAAAAAAATTTAGGGCATCACTTCCGATGAGGCTCTAAATTTGTCAGTGCACTGTCAGTGTCAGCTATTTGTCAGTGCATCAAATAGCTTTGAAAAAATTTACGTCATCAATTTTTGATGACGTAAATTAAAATCTTTGAATTTTCTGGTTTAGAGCCGCCAAATGTGGCGTTAAATGGGGAAAACCAAAGCATGTCTCTTGCGTTATGAAGGATACCTGTCATGCGGGGGGGGGGTAATTATACCAAGTGATAATCACAGGGAGTGTCAATTTTGGCCCAACCGGTTGGCGTGGAGTGTCCTGATGGTATTTGCCCTCAAAGCGGGTGGAAATAGCTTCCATGTTGTGCACCCACTGTGTCCATCTCTCGTTGTTTATATGCCTGCTCGCTCTCAGACATCGACGAGTGCGAGGAGGGCACAGCCAACTGCCAGCCGGCGGCCGAGTACTGCGCCAACACGGCCGGTGGCTTCACGTGTCAGCGCCGACAGGATGGCGTGCAGTGTGCCACCGGCTTCCGGCTCAACGCCACCTCCGGCGTCTGCGACGGTGGGAACACACACACACGCACGCACGCACGCACACCCCCCCCCCCACACACACACAGACCAGTGTGCTGGCACACACTGCCAACGACACACACTGCCACACTGCCAGTGATAACACTCTGCCACACTGCTAGTGCTAGAGACATACACTGTCAGCGACACACATTGCCACACTGCCAGTGACAACACACTGTCACACCGCCAGTGACAACACACTGCCACACTGCTAGAGACACACACTGCCAGTGACACACACACTGCCACACTGCCAGTGACAACACACTGTTAGCGACATACACTGCCACACTGCCAGTGAGAACACACTGCCACACTGCCAGTGACACACACTGTCAGTGACACACGTTACCACACTGCCAGTGACAACACACTGCCACACTGCCACACTGCCAGTGACACACACTGCCACACTGTCAGCGACACATACTCGATACTACCAGTTACACATACTGTCAGTGTTGGTGTCAGTGTCAGTGTCCATGTCCTGTCGGTGTGTGTCAATGTCAGTGTCAGTGTCTGTCAGTGTCAGTGTTGATGACATTGTCGGTGTCAGTGACAGTGTCTATCGGTGTCATTGCTGGTTTCGGTGTCAGTGTTTGCTCTGCCGACCGGCAGACATTGACGAGTGCGCCGACGGCGTGCACTCGTGCCGGCGCCCGCTGCACTGCGTCAACATCCGCGGCAGCTTCACGTGCACGCTGGCGGCCGCCGGGGACCGGTGCGCGGCCGGCAGCCGGCTGCTCGACGGACGCTGCGTCGACGTCGACGAGTGCCGCGAGGGCAGCCACCTCTGTGACCGGGCCACCGAGCGCTGCGTCAACGAGCGCGGCGGCTACCGGTGTGCGTCGGCGGCCGGCCCGGCGCCGGCCGCCGACTGCCCGCCGGGATTCCGGCGGTCGGCGCCGCTGGGCCGCTGCGTCGGTACGTACCGCGCCGCTCGGCCGCCGACGCCAACACCTTGTGCAGGCGTCAGTAGCGTGTGGGCGCTCCACTGACATTGGCGCTAGTTCAGAGCGTGCAGGCTCACACGAGCGCTGGCGCGCGACGAGTCGCGAATTTCATCCGACTGTTCGTCTGCTATCTCCACCTGCGCCCTGGGCAGATTGTAGCCGCACTGTGTGCATCAGGGCTGCGGAGTCGGAGTCGGAGTCGGAGTCGGAGTGGGAAGATTTGTCCGGAGTCGGAGTCCAAGCTGGAGTCGCTAAAATTTGACCGACTCCGACTCCGGAGTCGGAGTTAACGCTGCCTGGCTCATAGTCATGTCATTTACCTGGTTGCTTAACGATATTTCGCTTGTTGACCTTTCAAAATCAAATTTAGTTGAAGCTAAGGACATACCACTGTTTTGGACGAGCGTTTTCATTTAACAATGCTGAAGAAGGCTGCTGCGTCAAAACCTGTTTTTATTTCTGCCTGCTACTTAAAAAGTATTATCTGCAATAATCTTGCCTTGAAACGCGTAAAGGGCCGCTTCAGGCAAGATAAAGGGTGTCCGACATCATATTTGATTTCATTATATGGGCTTCACGAGCCATATTCGGAGACGAAGCTGGAATCGGAGCGGAGCCGATTTTGTTAAGCCGGAGTAGGAGTCGCCTTAAAATTCATCCATGGTGTCATAACGCATCTGTCGCTCTGGAACATTCGGAAGTGTATTAATACCTGACCGTGGTCCCTCTCTCTCTCTCCTTCTCTATTCTCTCTCTCTCTCTCTCTCTCTCTCTCTATCTTCTCATCTCTCCTCTCTCATCTCTCTCTCATCCTCTCCTCTCTCTCTGTCTCTCCTGTCCTGTCTTGTCTCTGTCTCTGTCTCTGTCTCTGTCTCTGTCTCTGTCTCTGCTCTGTCTCTGTCTCTGTCTCTGTCTCTGTCTCTGTCTCTGTCTCTTCTTGTCTCTGTCTCTGTTCTCTCTGTTTCTGTCTCTCTGTTTCT